GAAAAAATCCAGGAGGCCAATGGTTCAAGGCAGCAACACCAGGCCACTAAGGGACTAGCCACACTTGATGATCCCCCTCCTTGTTATATGGCACAGGGCCTGATGTTTCCCAAATCAACTCAATCCAAGCAAACACAGAATGCCTGCTGAAGGACCCCTCCTAATAGGGGGTGCAATGGGACAGGTCACAGAAATGATCATTCTCAGCGGGAGCTCCCCTTCCTTCTTCAGAACATCTTCTCCACCACCACTTTTGTGGCCTTCCAAAGACTCATAAAGACCCAGTTATTTCAGAAAGTCTTTGGAGATGGATGTTGGTAGAGACTGATGTTGAACATATAAAATTGTCGTATCTAATGTACTGGTTTCATTAATATTTTGTATTGATATGTTGTACCGTTGCTTCCACTTAGACTGAAATAACCTATCAATCTGCTCAACAAATAAATGCTATGCCATAGTTGAACTCAGATTTTGGCCCTCTGCCTATTACGGAATTTAATTTAAACTTCTTATGGCCATAAGCCAGCCAAAAAATTACACCCCTCCAAAATTAAAAGAAAAGATCAAAAGAAAAAAAAGCATCTAGATATAAGCCTATTGTGCATTATATGCAGGATTTTAGAGCAGGTAAGTTGTATATGCTACTACCAAAATGCAAACGTCAGTTTTCTGTTCCTCTGTATAATGAACAGACATTATTGATTTGCTATAGGATGGTGGTTCTCCTAGATGTCATTCAAACCATGTTATAAACCTTTTTTGTGACTAAGGCACTAACAGCTTTTGATGTACATAGTTTATCATGTACATAGTTTATCAGTACTGTAAACTTCTTGTCTCTCTCTCTTTCCCAGGCCAGCCCTGCTCCAATAATTGTCAATACAGATACGTTGGACACTATACCTTATGTAAGTCAAAAAGCATGTCTTGTGTTTTCTCATTGTGTTTTTCGCTGGGTTAACTTAGTGCCAGGGTGGGGAACTTTTGCCAGACCACTTAACTGTTGCCTGGCCTGTGGGTGGTTGCACTCCAAGTAATAATGGCTGTGGTCTGGGCAAACCCTAAATTGTATTTAATTTAATTTCAAAGAAAATAATAAATTAAAAGAGTCAGTAACAAGTCATCTGTTTTATAATGTCACCTTATGCATTTGGTAATTTTGGGAGGTTGCATCTGCGGTTATCCTGGACACCACATTTTCTGGGGTCTCAAGATCTGCAACTCCAGTTTACCTCCTAGTATTGTACTTTGTTCTCTCTTCCCACCACACCAAAAACATTTATGTTTCATAAAATAGGCTGCAGGAAATGTAGAAGTCCAAATCCACCACCTTCTGAAAACAAAAATGCCATGTTACTAATGTGCATGTGAAGGTCCTTGTTAAATTGCATTGATTCACCTTTGGGGTTGTAGTATCGAGTAGGTTGGCCATGTTAGACCCTCTTTGATGTGTCCTCCCCAATCAAACAATACAGCTGATGGGCTCCTAATGCAGAAGCTAATTTACCATGCTACCACTCAACCCTTTATGGCTCAGCTCATCATTACCTTCAGGACCATTTGCTTCAAGTCAAATCTGCCTATCTGGTATGTGCGGACTGCAAGGGGATGCTATAGCTTCCCACCCTCCAAGATGTTGTCTGACTTGCATCTCTTTTGCTCTAGAGGGACTTCCCCCCTTCCCTGACAATAGAATGGCTTCCTCATGCTAATTTCAGGAAGGCCATCAATATGGTGTTCTTCCATTGAACCTTTCTAGGGGTTGGTTAATGTACCACTGCATTGTTTTTATGAAAGGTAAGCTGCCTACAATCCTTGATGAGATAGCATACAAAGGATTTAAAAAATGAAATAACAAACATGGAAGGACATTGAATGTTGCTTGTCTACACTGGAGAAAGACTTGTTCCTTCCCTTCTTCCCAGCCCTATGACCCAACTAATAAAGAATCTTCTATTCACTGAGACTGTTCTTTTTAGAGCAGATTCTGGTTTCCCCTTTCTCTCTATCTCCCAATTCAATGCACTGGCTGATTTATCAGTGTTCATTTAATTTACAGTTCAAGAAACAGATGGGCTCATGTCTGAAAGGTTGACTAGAGCTATGAGGGAGAAAAACTATTAAGATCAGCTAAATTATAACTTTTCCTTAATGTTTAATGAGCCAGTGAGGCAACTGCTAATGTGCTTCAGCAACCCATAATCAATTAACAATGCTTCAGAGAAGTTCCTCATCCCACAGTATTTTACTGGGGGCCTTCTGTGTATTGATGGAGACCCCCCAAATGGCAAACTTGATGAGCTTGATCTTACACATTGTATCCTTCTTTTTGTGTAGTGTTTTAATAGAAGGCAGGAGGGCAGGCATGTGTGTATCAGTTGAACAATACACAAAAAGAATTTGGATACATATTTATAATATATACTGCTAAAATAATAATTCCACTTAAAAATGTTGTTGCAGGGCAACACAGAGTGAATAGAAAATGCATGTTCTCTTGTGCCTAACATATATTTCTACTACTGTTACCATATTATTACAGCTTTATTGCACAAAATCTATTATGTTTATTATATTCGCATTAATTTTTATAAAACCATAATGAGCTTCCTTGGAGTAATGAAGCTGAAGTGTAGGATATACTTGTTATTACTTGGATTTAAAAAAAAAAATAAGTCACTGATAGCTGTAATGATTGCAAAGTCTTGTAATGATGGAATTTTTACTTTAAGGGAAATGGATTCTGAATGTAGTTAAATACTTACAGTGGACTTCAAGAAAGCAGATTTTAATAAAATCAGAGCACTGATCAATAGATTCCTTGCATGGTAGGTGAAGCTACTGGGAAAAGCAGTTCAAGATGGGTGCAAGTCCCCAGTGAAGGAGAATTCTTTCAGTGGGAAAAAATGGAAAACAGGTGAAGAGCACAACCAGCCAATGTGGCTAACAAAAATATTAATGAAGTTTTCAAAAGAATAAAGGATATATTTAAGAGGTAGAAAGATGGACAGGATATCAAAGAACAGCCCATGGAAGCAAAGAGCTCATATCAGCAATGCTAATTGGTGGATTAGCCTGGAACCAGCCGAGATAGCTAAAAGATGCTAACAATAGCCACAAAGGACTTCTGGAAATATGTTCAAAATAAAAAGAATAATGAAAAGTAAACATTTAGATTTATTCTGTGCTGGCCAAGTCCCACCTTGAGCATTGTGTCCAATTCTGGGCACTACAATTTGAGGTTTCGGAGAAACTGGAACAGGTTCAGAGAATTGCAACAAGGATTAACAGGGTCCCCAGGAAGAGAGAATGAAGTTGCTGAATGTTTGATCTTAGGAAGAAAAGATTTGAAAGGGGTATAATAGCACTCTTTAAATACCTGGAAGGATGTGAAAAAGAAGGAAGTCAGGACTTACTGTCTCATTTCAGAGCATGGCATGTGGAATTATGGTTTTAAGTTATAGAAAAGCAGATCCCTACCAATTTCCTAATAGTAAGAGCAGTTGACAATGGGGTGAACTACCCAGACCAGTGATAGGTTTCCTTTTTTGGATGTGTTCAAGTGAAAACTAGAGAAGCATCTGTCCAGGATACAGTACTTAAATTTGGATGTCTGCACCAAGCAGAGATTACCTAAATGTCCTCTTCCATTTCTATGATTCTAGAGCTCTAATAAAAGTAGTATAAACAAGCGACACAGATCACTCTAGACCAGATTGAGAGGCCCAGGATGTCACTATCTTGTTGAAAAAATACATTAAAGTAGATGCTAGTGAGCCTGTCCAGGGAAAGGATTTTACAGCTGTGGGGCATCCACAGAGAAGACCTTCTTCCTAGTGGCCTTTCATCACAAATTTGATTGAATCTGTTGAATTTAACCTTCAGCTGAATCGAGGCACGATGTGTTTGTACAATATAGCTTTTAGGTATTTAAACTCATTGTCCAGACTTTCTCTTATAAGCGGGTGGTTGTTGCTGCTGAACTAACGTTGCCTCTTTTCTCATTCCCATCAAAACTACATTGAAGACCATGAAGCATAAATAGAGTTTAATTTTATGGCAGGCAGTTATATACCCCAGAGTTAAAGCTGGCTCACTGTTCAATTCTCTTTTGCTGGTAGTAGCATCGAAAGAGGACTACAGAGGGTTCAGGATCAAAATCCATTGATTCTAACATGTCCATGATATTGCCAACATCATAGGACTTATTTTACTGGAGAGTGAATTTCTTTTTTCCTCTCCCTGAAGTACTCACTTTCATGACTGCTTAAGCATGTCTGCTGCAGGCAACTGAATGACTTGAAGCATCTTTTTTTTAACATGAGCTACAGCAATATAGAAAACTGAATATGGAAGAAGAAAAGAAAACCTAAGTTTTCTGAAGGCACAGATGCTCTAAAGCAGAGGACAGGCAATCTGGGGCATTCCAGATATTGCTTATCTGCAACCCTCAGCGTTCCTCACATTCATAGGAATGCTGAGAGTTATAATTCGGCAACATCTGGGGAGTTAGAGATTGAAGAAGTAAGGCTCACTGGCCATATAATATTTGGAAAATGGATTAAGAGATGGGGGAATGATTTATTTATTTACTTGCTGGGGCTTATACACTGCTTCAATCCAACAGGACTCTGAGCGGTTTACAATCCCTTAGAGTAAAAGGATTAAAATAAAAAGATGACATGTTAAAATGAGAAAATAGCACAAAATAATAATAGCAAATTTGCAAAGAACAGGAGAACATGTCACACATGGATGAAATTGGGAAAAAGGTTTCCTTCCTTCCTTCCTTCCTTCCTTCCTTCCTTCCTTCCTTCCTTCCTTCCTTCCTTCTGCCTATTTTAGATGATACACTTTATTTCTCCATGTGCTTCGTGCTTAAAATAGAGGGGAACTCTGCCAGTGGTTTTCAACAATTGTGAGTCAAGATTTCATGGGCTCTGTACCATCCTGGAGTACAGAAACTCATTTGTGCTTTAGAATAAAAAGGCAATACATGATACAACTATACTGTAAAAAGCAGATTAAAAAGCAACAATGAAAGGCAGATCTGTTAAAAACCCAACCTGGTATAAAGCCTCAATGGTTACACAGAGTTCAGGTCATTGATGGACCCAAGGTGGAAATGTCTTTTCCTGCACACAGAAAGTAACAAAACTAGTTTAACCTGTCTTCCTTGGTAAGAAGTATTTGCTGTGGAATTTTCAGCAAGAAGATCCACTTTCGCACTCCAATTAAAATAACAATCAATTAAACAAACATGGTTTCTTTTTCCCATTTTCAAATCAATTCTGCTGATTCTAAGATTGCCTTTTCCCTTAGTTAATGGCCTACCTCCTGACAGCAAGCAGCTTGTTGTCAATATTGTTTTAGAAGTTGCTGTTTTGGAGGTTTCCTGATACATTGAAGTTGAACTGTTAAAATTCTTATCCAGCGTGGGTTTTGGCTATGCAAGTTAGAAATCCTGGGAGTTTCCGCTAGGAAGACCCTTGCCCACATTCCAGTTAAAGAAAACATGAATTAAAGAAATGCAATATCCTTTTTTCTCATTTGCAAGTCAATTCTAGTCATTCCAAAATAAACTTTTGTTTATTTGCTAACCCATCTGATTTACTCCTGTTCAAGATGGATGAGAAATGTGGCATAGACCGATTTTAAGGAGCTTCCAGATTCATTCCTCATTATCCAGTTGTATTATTCATGTGAATAAATAAAAATTAACTTAAGTAAGTTGCAGTGATTTGATAGAATATTCTTAATATGCTCTGCTGATCAAAACTCTCTGTTTATGCTTGGATATTTGTTTTTCTTAATTTATTCTGGACATTATTTTATACCTGCTTCAAGCATCTGTTATTGTGGAAACAAAAATCAAAACTGCCAAGATTAAGGATTTAATTAAAGATTG